GTGTGTGTGTGTGTGTGTGTGTGTGTGTGTGTGTGTGTGTGTGTGTGTGTCTATGTGTGAGAGAGAGACTTTTAAATAAGCTGTTACTAATTGACGGTGAAGAGAACCGAGTTTTGCTCTGATCGCTGTTTCAACATCTTCCAAATTTCCAGCCTCTCACTTTAACTTACGCTAATCTTGAGTGTTTTTCTGTCACACAGATTTTGAACTCACTCTTTCCTTTGTGCTGTGATGTTGTCTGTTACTGTGCACACAGAAATATAAATCAATTCTTTACAGGGAACATGGAAAAACTGCTGCTTATTTTTCTTCCTGTGAATGGAGATTCAGCGTTTAACTAAGATTTGTCCCTTTGTGTTCCATACAAAGTACATGTTGCAAACTTTGTGCTATTTCAGTTATTTATATATCAAAATGTTCAGCTCATTCAGGAGATAGACATTTTCCCTTTTGGTTTTTGTAGCCATTATGCTTTTTAAAATAGTTCACCTTTTCTTTGTTCTCTCCATGAAACACTGAAATTTCTTCACTTCCTTCAAAAACATTGTTATTTCTAAAATCTGCTTTGGCTTCTTTTAGATATTCTTTTGCTACTTTTAGATACTTTTAAATACTGTTCTGCTAGTTTTATATTTACTTACTGTTCTGCTACTTTTGTCTTTTGGCTACCATTTTTCTAGCATGGCTACTAGTTTACTATTGACTTTTTATCTTCTGTCTTGCTAATTTTAGATTTTAGCTACCATTTTTTCTACATATAGCTTTCAGCTAGCCTTCTGGTCCTTTCCACTTTTGGCCAGCCTTTGGTAATTTAAGTTTTTAGCCAGACATTGCTCATTTTAGCTATGGTAAATGGTACTGAACTTATAGAGCGCTTTTCAAGTCCCTCCGGACCCCAAAGCGCTTTACACTAACAGACATTCACCCATTCACACTCACATTCACACACTGATGATGGCAAACTACACTGTAGCCACAGCTGCCCTGGGGCACACTGGCAGAAGTGAGGCTGCCATGCACCGGCACCACCGGACCCTCTGACCACCATTGGTAGGCAAGGTGGGTGAAGTGTCTTGTCCAACGACTGAGACGGCTAGACGGGGGGATCGAACCAGCGACCTTCTGGTTCCAGGACAACTCCCCTAACCACTCCACCACAGCTAGCTTTTCTTTCTACATGTAGTTTTTACCTAGCCTTTTACTTAAAATTTTAGCTAGTTTTTTGCTACAGTTGTGTTTTAGTCAGTGCTCTTATTGTTTTTTAAGGTTTGACAACTCAAGCCCCATTCATACACAGAAATTCCTGGATACACAAAGGTTTTTTTTATTGATTCAGCCTTGCATTCACGTAGAAAATATGTTTTAGGAATCTCTAAATTGTACTTTATCAAAAACCTAAGTGTCACATTTGCAGAAAGCATCATTTTTCTACCTACTTAACTGCATGTGCTCTCTGAGCTGTAGTTTAAGCTGCTGAATCCATTGTTTGACTACTTGCAGCGGTGCTTTTACCTTAATGTGAGTGACGGGGCTGGATGCTTGTTTCTCGCTCTTGAGGTTGGAGGGGGAGAGAGGAGCGGAGGAGTTGGGTGCCTGTGGGTGGGAAGCCATCTTGGCTCCTGGTGAGATCTGCATGCTTGCCAGCTGTGCTGCATACAGCTGCTGCAAAAGAGGGGGGGAGCAAAACCAACAGTCTATTAACATTGTTCGCCAGCAGTCAGAGGCTTTCCTCTTTCATCCTGTCTTCTTTCTTACACACACAAACACGCACACATGCACACAGAAAAATCAACAGGATTGCGCACGTGAGTGTGTAACATCTCCCTGTTTTTTCCCAGAATTTTGCTGGGTGTGTCTGAGCCAAATTTATTTTAAACTTATTTATAGACAAATGTTTGTGCTCCTGCATTCCTGCAACCTGGAAACAAATTTGAAAATGTTTAAAGTGTTTATCAGGCAAAATATTCAAGATGAAATTTAAATTGTTTGCCAGGATTCCCTTGAAAAAGTGTTTGTTTTTTTTATCTCAGTCAGGACTTCCTGGTTAAAAAAAGTTAAATTAAAAAATTAAAAATAAAATAATCCATCACTGTTTCTCATTCTTTTGATTGTTTCCCATGCATCATACGTAAGTAACCAAATCATGTTTTACTTATTTGTCTGAACCTATTTCAAAAAGATTGTAAAATGATTTGGATCAAATAGTTAGAGTGTAAAACAAATATCTCATTTAATGTGTTGCATAAAATAAAAACCACAAGGTCCGACAGCAGTATGGCTCCGGGACATCATAAAGATGACAAAGGAATACATGAACTCTATGTTTGAAAACAATGACATTCATTCGGTATGAATTAGGAAAAAATGAACCACGTCACAGACAGGTTGTAAACTGTTTTATGGTGTTGCAGTGACGGTATCTCTGTGTGGCTGATTAGGGTGTGAGTGAATTTGAAAAGTTGAAAACCTGAGTTGAAATTACATCTCAAGATCGACTTTCTTACATTTCTATGCTTATCAGTTTTGGTAAGTATTGTCAGCAATCTTTAAAAAAAATAATTGTTAATTAATTTATTCATTTTTAAAAACTTTCTTTCAAGCTGAAGCAAAACGTTGAGATTTTATTTGTCTGGGCTTGATCAAAATAATATCTTAGCGCTGTTTCAGTTTTTAACTATAGCTGATTCATTTTAATTGGGTGTGTCAAACAGATTATTTATGCTATGTGTTGTCATTAATTAATATTGTTTGAATTTATATGTGGGTTTGAGATGTCAGTTTAACGTGTGACAGGAAACTTAAAACGAGCCCCCAGACAGTTTAAATTCTACACTGGTGTGAAAAAAAGAACTTACAGAGAAAGATTTTTGTAGGTTTTTTTTTCAACTTAAAGTCATTATGTCAAGATTAAAATAAAAAATCAGTTTAAACAATGAAGTCAATCCTTATAAAATAAACCACACTGTGCCCCAACAGCAATTTTTATATCATTGTTGCCGAAGTTCTGCATCACAGCATTGTTTAAAGAAGAAGCCTAACAAAAATGGTAACCAGGCTGCTCAAAGAACATTTACATTTATCCATTCATACAGCACATTACTAGATCTTTACAAAATTTGTCTGAATAAATTATTCTATAGAGCATAATCAGTGCTTTAAATCACATTCATGCACTGATTGGTCATACTGGAAGCAATGAGGGGCTCAATTTCTTGCTCGGGGACAAGTCAATGTGTGACTGTACATAATTGTTAAATGCAAATAACAAATATAAGTTACACGTGATATGTGCCTTCATTATAAAATGATTGAAAGTCAACTTTCTGGTTGGAATGATCTGATCATCATTGGTCAAAATACCAAATAACAAAGTTTAGAGTCTACTGCAAGCAAGGCAACAACTGGTTAAACAGCCAAAACTTTTGGAAATAATTGAAATACACCCCCTGACTTATATCTCAACATTTTCAGTAAAATATTGCAGATCTGTTAATGCTCACAGTATGTATTGGTGAGGACTCTCAGCTGCTACCACACCAAATTGTTGCTCCATATCTGTAAAACCGACTGGGTTGTGCCCATTTCTGTGTTAGTTTAGGTCAGCTAGCTGCAGCCTTCCTGAATGGGATTGACTTCAAAAAGTTAATCAGTTGTAGATGTACATCCAGTGATTTATTTCTAATGTTTCATTATATTTCATCCAGTGGTTGATGAGATATTTTGCTAACAGACGCACAAATAAGCACACAAACAGACACTGGCGATTACATCATTCTTTCATGGCAGCAGGGGGTACATATTGCTTTAATCATACACTTCTCAGCACAGCCAAACAGGTAGAAAGAACTAACCAAAGATAGTATAATAAGAAACGTTGGGCTGTTAGTCTTAAAAACACTTTAAAACAATTTGATCACAAATGATTATTCAGAAAAACACAGATACATTTCCTCACTAAAGTTAATTTAGAAGAAAAACTAACCATGATTTAAGAAGGTATGGTTATATTTTGATGACTGGGCCTGTAATTTAACGTAAAACAAACTCAAAATTAGAACATAAATAATACCAAATTAAGAGAAAAGGCTTGGAAAGCACAAGCATTTGGTTTGGAAGCAAACGCCAAACAGACCCCAAAATAATGGAACTGGTTTTCCATCCAGAGTACTTAACAGAAATCAAAGAGTCAAAAGCTAAGCCCACAGTTCTGGGTCTTCTAAATCAAATCTGGCTGGCCAGACCAACTGCTGTCTGAAACCACTGTCAGCCCCTGTCTAAAGGTATTGGAGTGTGAGGGCTGGAGTATCAAAGAGCCTGTCCTCGAGAAAACCACCCCAGTGTGGCTGGCCTGAAGTAGGTTCTCTATTCTGCTTTCCTCACACCTCATCTATAGTCTCCCTTCCCTCTAAAAATCTGCCTCAAATTCATCCTGCTCTCATTTGATCCCCCCTTTAACTCTCCTCACTTGTCTTCTGTCTTGTTATTTTCTTCCAGAAACTACTTTTTTTGTCATATCCCTGATCTTGATAGTGATTCCTTGCTCTATGTTTTGACTGTCTACCCCTGTAATCCAAAATGGCTCCTAGCATTGTGAGATCTTATTGCCCCGTAGTCAAAACTGCGAGGCCTCCTGGGACCAGAAATCCAACGGTGAAGAAACACCCACGGACAAAGAAAGATTTGGGAGACCACCGCCACTTAGCCGCCAAAGCGCCAAGCTCAGCAGTGGGTGCCAGAGACATTGGCTGGCCCTCTTTCCACTTTTCTCAAAGCGATATTAAACACAAACAGAAGGGGCCTCGCTGCTGAAACAAAGCCCTGATGTCACGCTGCTTATTTTCCTTGGAAGGTACCGGGAGCACTCTGGCCAACCCCTGGCGATATGAGATCCCTGTTAGAATGTGCCTTGAATGGCTGGTGGTGAGGCCTCTCGCGTCAATCACGACGACCGCAGAGTTTCTTCTGGTGATGCCTGATATTCTTACAGCTGTAAAGGGAGCGTGTGGTGGTGTGTGTGGGGTGGTGGGGGGTGGTGGGGGGCTCAACCTGACACACATACATGACTAGGATCTGCACAAACACGTACACTCAGGGTAGTTTTTTCTGTGAATATACTTCTTCTATTGTGCTTGGGGTAGCTGTTCTGTCAAAAATAAAAGGACAGGAGTGTTGAATGAGCAACAGTTTGACGATAAAAGCTTTTATCTTTATTTTTTTCTCCTTCTTCAAGATGCTCAAGGATTGATTGTTGACTGGCTAATGTGCAGCGTAAACAACCTAAGCTAAAGCTCTCACGGTGCAATCAACTCTCAAGGGAAGACAATGAAGCAATTTCGTAAATTACAAATTGACAAAGGATCTTAAACGGCATCTCAACTGTCTAAACTATTCGACTGGTCTTTGGATGTTAGTGCTAATTTCACCAAAATGTGTCATTTTGACACTCTCACCTGCCCCCATCAGCAGGTATTGCTGTATTGTGATCACAAAGAAAGAAAGGGGCTGGTGTTTGGTCTGCTACATGGCCTCTGTCTTACTGAGACTGAGAGAAGAATCCATTTTCCAGGCCTCTTTTGGGTCAAGCTGCTATTGATCTCAAAAGTACACAAAGCAAATGAGGTTTTGCTGTTTTTTTTATGCAGGTTTTAGGGGTGGAGGGATTGTACAAACTGTCAGAGAGCTGATCCACACAACAGAGACTCAATATCGCACCGAGAGGGTTAACTGTATCCAAGAGAAATACTTATGAACCGATTGGGCTACTGAGACAATCATAATGCTAATTCTGATTTTCTTCAATGCAATATGTGTTTTTTTTTTCTTTTTGTGCTTCAACATCAAACAATGCTCTGACTGGATGGTAAAAAAAGTTGTTTATCTTTCATATATGACAAAAAAAAGTGTATCCTGATTCTGGGGTAGAAAAAGTGTGTCTTTACCTTTTTGGACTCCGACATAAAAAAAGTGCCAGCCTGATCAGAGACAGTGAGGGATGTCATATGATTTCAGCAAGAATGTCTGCTAAGCAACTGTATTTCCCTCACATTAGCCGTGCACAAAGGGGGCCTTTCTCCTGCAGAAATCCACTGTTTGTGGAGGGGTCTACTTCCAGACTGTAGAAACAATTGGTCAGATCAGGTTCCCACGGAAAAAAGGCACAACATTTGAGCAATCAAAGTGGCTGCACTGGGTCAGGATGGGTCGAGAGCAGCTTTAAACTTGATTTTGTTTTGGTTAATGTCAATAACGGTGAGAAAATAAGAAGTGCCTTTTGAGTACAGCTTTTTGTGGGTATGTGGTTCATACCTGTTGCTTCAAAGCAATATCTGGCAGTTAATGACCATTGTTGTCAAGCAACTAAAACATCTGGCGCAGACTGCCTACAACATCTGCCTGTCCTTTTCTGAACATACGTGGCATTAAAGGGATTAGTCTAGTTGACTTTATTAGCAGAGGACTTTGCTGCATTTAAAGTAACGTGGAGTTTTTATCTATTTACACAAGTTTCTTTTTTTTACCAGCACAAGGGTGTTTTTCACTGACAAACGTGGCCGACATTCTTTTTAGAAAATGAATGGCTGTAAACAAAATTTCTTGCTTGAGGCAGTCAAAGGGGGAGGAGAGCGATATGCAGGGTCAGGGGTCATGATGGAGGAAAGCCA